TAAAATTCAGGCAGTTTTCAGCCATTTTTAAAATTTTTTTTCCTTAATCTCCTGGTCATCTCCTTCCAATTCTATAGGCACTTATATGTGCATCACTTGTTATTGTTGCTGAGGCTCTGGTTGTTTGTTTTATGTATTTGTTTTGGTTGGGTTTTTTGAGACAGGGTCTTGCTGTATAGCTGAGGGTAGCCTTGAACTCTAGCCAGTCCTCCTCCTCCTTCAGTCTCCCAACTGCCGGGATTACAGGTATGTACACCACACCCAGCTGTTCAGTTTTTTCTTACAGCCATTTTTTTCTCCACTTGATATTTCCTATTGCTCTGTCTTTAAGTGCACTGATCTTTTCTTCTGCAGTATCTTATCAGCTGTTAAGCCTATCAAGTGACTTTTCATTTCACACATGCATTTTTTAGCTCTAGAGAAACCATTTACATCTTTGAGTTTCCATTTCTCTGTTTCTCATTAAGTACGCGTTTTCCTTAAAATCTTAATAAATTTGTAACAACTATTTTCAAATCTTTGTTGGCCCGTTCCGTTACCTGGGCCCACTGTGTCTTTTGCTGACTGATGATGGGTCACTTTTTTTGCATCTGTGTCTGTCTAGTAATTTTTATTGCATGCTGGACAATATGAATTCTATGTTGTTGAAGCTACGTTACTTACCTTCCTAAGGGCTTTGAGTGTTCTTCCAACAGACAGTTAATGTACTTGGGGATCAGCTTGATCATTTCAGGGGTCTTTAAAGCCTTGTTGGGGTGAGTCTAAGGTAGCCCTTACTGTGGGACTAGATCAGGTCTATTTCCTGTGATCCTCTTGCCACAGCCTCCCGGAGTGCTGGGATTACAGCGTGAACCACCGCGCTCATCTTAGGCACGTTCTAGGTCTCCACCTAAGGCATGCGCTTCAGGAATTTCTACTGAATGCTTGGGGTGTTCACTGAAACATCCCTACTCTGGCTGTTGGAAACTCACATTTGTTCCAAGCCAGCTTTGGGTAATCTCTGACAGTTGCTTAGTTTGTAAGATCTCAAGAGGTGTCTTGTTTTCTGAAGATTTTATGTTGCCCTCCTCATAGAATTTGCTTCATGCGGGTGAAGTCTCCGAGTCGGTCAAGCCCACGGGTTTGGAGATCCCTCTGCAGGGTCTCCTTGCTCTGCTACGCAGCCGCGCATGCCCCGAGGGCGGAGCCTCAGCCCTGTTCCGCTGTACAGCCCACGGAGTTCCTCCAGGCAGGGTCAAGGGTACCTGGGGGCTCGACCCCAGTGATTTCTCTTCTCTCTGGAATCTCTGTAAATTTCCTTTTTTCTCCAGTTTTATAGTTGTTTATAGCAGGAGGGGTCACCTAGTATGAGTTACTTAATCATGGCCAGAAGCAGAAATCTTATTCTTGTATATATTTGCACTGTGTATTTATTTATTTATTTATTTTTTTGGTTTTTCTCCGGTACTGGGAACCGAACTCACGACCTTGCGCTTGCCAGGCAGGCACTTTGCCACTGAGCTAAATCCCCAGCCCCTGTACTATGGTTTTATACATTCTAAAAGCAATATATAATATTTTCTTTAAAAAATATTTTCCATATACTTAAAACATTACTTACATAGTTCATAATATTCTTCCACATCTTCCTTTTCTACTTAACAGACTCCCCTAACCCAAGTACTGGGGATGGGAGCCGGGGCTTTTGCACTGATCTATAGCTCCAGCCTTTTCCTTTAAAAAAAAAAAAATTCGGAGCCAGGGTCTCACCTACGTAGTCCAGGCTGATCTTGAACACTCTGTAGTCCAGGCTGGCCTCGAGCTCATGTCAAACCTCCTGCCTCAGCCGACCTGAGATTACAGACGTTCAGGCACCATCATACCCGGCCTCTGTCCTCCTTTATTTTCTGTTTTGGGATAGGGTCTTGCTAGGTTGCCTGGACTAGGCTCCCAACTTGTGCTCCTCTTGCGTCAGCCTCTCAGGAGTCCGAGGGTTACAGGTATGTGGCACCACACCAACTACACGGAGATCTACCCACATTGCAGTGTGAATTCAGTAACTTCCATGGTTGAGTGTTTCAGGGTGTCTGCTAAGGGCAAGGGGCTGTCCTCGCAGGTGTGCTGCTGTTGCCCAAGACAGAGGCAGCCCCCCTCTTGTGGGAGGAGGCAGATAGTAAGCACACAGGTAATGTCTGATAGCAAAAGTGCAGTAAGAAAATGCAGCAAGGAGGGGTGGGTGGGGGCTGGGGATTTAGCTCAGCAACAAAGCACCTGCCTGGCAAGCGCAGGTTTTTGGTTTGGTTTCCGGTTCTTGGGGAAAAACCAAAAAAAAAAAAAAAAAAAGGAGGGGTGGGTGACAGGGGGACCGGGCACAGTCTTTCAGTAGAGGAGAGGTTGAACAGATCTGCCTTGAGCAAGCCGGTGGGGTTGGCGGGGGCGGGTAGCAGGTAGGCTCCTAGGTCGGGGAGAGTTCCGGGGCAGAGAGCGAGTGTAGAGAAAGCCTGCGTGAGGGTTTTGGGCAAGGGTGTGGTGCACTCTCGTGCGTGTTTTTAAACCTTCTCTGTAGTGCGCAGGGGGAACAGGTATGGGGAGGCGGCGGGCGCCACTGCAGGAATCTGGGCAGGAGACGGCAAGAAAGATCCGCTTAGACCAGAAACGCAAGTGATCCTGTTAAGGGTGTAAAGGCAGAGCCAGCAGAACTCACAGCTGGGCAGTGTGGGCCAAAGCAGTAACCAAGACTGATGCTCACGCCCCTGGCCTGAGGAAGAGAACCAGCAAAAAGCCTTGAACTGATGCAGACGTGGTTTGTGTGTTAGCTGTTGAGGCTGGCATTCAGGTGAGAGATGGGCTGCAGTTTGTGTCGTCAGTGTAGAGATGGTTTTTAAAATTCAGAGTGCCCAGCAAAATCTTCTAGGGTCTTAGGATAGAGAAGAGAGGTGGTCAGAACTGAAACCCTGGGAATTCCAACACTTAAATGTGAGGTCTTCCTCTTAAGAGATCCACAAAAGACTGGCAGGAAGCAACCACCAGGGAAGGAGGAAAACCAGGAAAGAGAAGGAAGCATTTGAGGAAAGGAATGATCTCTATTTAATGCTGAGGGTTTTTTTATTCAATGCTATTGAGTGGGTGCATATGCTATACAGCAAGGTAGTTCAGTTTTTTCACTGCTGTCTAATATTCCACCACATGAATAGAGAAGATTCCTTCTTCTATCTCCTTCCATTTTGGTTAATGAATATTTGCAGCAAGTATTCTAGAACCTATCACCAATTGGAGCCCATGTGGACGAGTCTGTCTTTTACATTATGTCTGGGGAGAGAATCAAGAAATCATTAAGAAAAAGACACACAACTTAAGCTTGACAAGCTAATACCAGGCTGCTTCTGAAAATGCTGCTGCTGGTGTCTGTCTCTGACTTCAGGGCTTAAGAGATGCCATTAACACTGTCACCAGCACTGACTAGTGTAGACCTTAGGGTTCTTCCCAGCCTTGGGCGTGACTGTGAGTGTGGCTTCAGCCTGCGTCTTCCTAAGTGCTGGTGAGGTTGAGTACTTGGGCCCTTTAGGTTTTCTTTGACCTGGCCTGTTAATAGCCATTGCCCAGCTTTCTGTAGAATTTTTCTTTTCTTTTTTATTTATAAGATGTCTTAGTATATTCTAGACTTTAAATCTGGCTTTATTAAGTATACTGCAGATACTCTCAGTCTGTGGGGTATCTTTGACCTTGGAGGAGGCTGGGGCATGTGCACACATACATGCATGTCATGTAAAAGCTTTTAGTTTGTTTGTTTGTTTGTTTTGTTTTTCTTCTGGTATCGGTAATCAAACTCACGACCTTGCGCTTGCCAGGCGGGCGCTGTGCCACTGAGCTACATCCCCAGCCCCAAAGCTTTTAGTTTGGATGCAGATCTACTTCATGTTTTCTAATTTAATCTTTCCGTATCATGAAGATACATGCTTGTATTTGTTCTAAGACTTGCAATATTTTTTAGACATATACATGACACTGTCACGATATCTGAAATTGATTGTGTGTGTGATGTGAGGTAGGGACCAGGTTTATTTTTCTTGTATGGGAAAACCCAGATGGTCTAACTTCTCCAGCCTGTTCCCACGGATGGAAACTGCCACTACCTCACCTTGGGTTCCCAGAAGGACATAGATGTTTGAACGCCCTTTTTCTGTTCCACTGGTCACGTCACCTAAACTTAGATCCATATATGTAGGTTCTATTACTTAATAAATATTGGGTATCTGGTAAAGTGAGCACAGGTGAGGGCAAAACGATTCACTTTCACTTTGAAGTTATCTCTCTTTAAACAACAGCATGTATAGTTAAAGTAGCACTGGCTAAGCCAGGTATGGTGGTTCATGCCTGCAATCCCAGCACTCTGGGAGGCTGAGGCAGGAGAATCACAACTTCAAGATCAGTCTGGGCAATGAGACTTAGAGAGACTCAGTCTCAAAATTAAAAAGAGAAAGGAGTGGAGATGTCACACACACACACACACACACACACACACACACAGCTTGCTAAATTTAGAAGAAACTCCACTTGCCACTCAGCTGTCCAGGACCCATCTGTGGCTGTGGCGTGAAGTGGGGAGGGTCCCGTGACTTTCCTGCGACGCTCTGGGTACTTTTACTTGTGGCCCTTCCTCCCCTCCCGCTTCTCAGTCTCACACCAGCCCTCGGGGTGTGACGCCCCTGAAGCCTGGGGCTGCTTCCGGTAGTTGCTCTCGGGCCTGCAGTGGGTCTCCTGCAACTTGGCTGCGGTTCTGATTTCGTTGGTTACAGCCAGCCAGACCGCAGGGACAGGGCTGGCGGGGCCTGGGGTTTCCTGTTCCTCACCAGCTCTGAGACCCTGGAATCTAAAAATAAACACCCTAGAAACCACCGTGACCTCCCGGCCTCTGTGCCTGGGCTGCTCTGAGGGCCCTGGGGCCCGGCCTGGGCCCTGTCCTTGTCGCAGTCACAGCGGCGGGGGCCCAGCCTCACGCCCCTGGCCCTGTCCCCTTTCAGGCTGTTACCCGCAGGGCCAAGGCGGCCCGGGCAGAGAGGATGAGCCGGTTCCTGCGGCACTTCACCGTGGTCGGGGACGACTACCACTCCTGGAACATCAACTACAAGAAGTGGGAGAACGAGGAGGATGAGGAGGACGGGGAGGAGGAGCAGCAGCCACGGCCCGCGCCAGCCCAGGGCGAGGAGGGCAGGGACGCCGAGGCTGCGTCCGTCCCCGCGCCCCGACCGCCCCCCGACTTCAGCGCCAAGCTGAGGAAGCTCTTCAGCTCCCACCGCTTCCAGGTAGGACAGGCCAGAGCCCGCCTCCGCGAGTCCCCGGGCGGCACGGCGGCCCCGTCCCTGCCCTGCCGCTGTTCACCCCACAGTGGGTAGAAGCTCTGCCGGGGCCCGCAGCCAAGCAGCCCTGCGGGCCGCTCAGGCCCCCACCGCCATCAGCGGAAAGTAAATCAGAGCCTCCGTGGGCAGGGAGGAACCGCGTGGGGTCTGCCCACCACGGGCTGGGAACTCAGGCCTGAAAAGGGGCAAAGCAATGACACAGGCTCCGGCGCACGGACTGTCACAGTTAACGCTCAGTGACATTGCTGCAGAGTGCCGGAGCAGGCAAAGCCATGGGGGAAGCGGGCTGGTGGTGGCCATGGGCCGGGGCTGGGCCTGGAGGTGACGTGTGACCCTTGATGGACACAGCCTTCCCGTCCGGGGCGGTGAATGTTCTGGAACTAGAGAGTGGTGACGGTCATGTGACCTTGTGAAGGTACTTAAGGCCGCTGACTTTAAAATGGTGACAAGGAAAAAAAGATGGTCACTATGCTCGTTTTTATGTAATGCAAGTTTACAGCTGCCACACACAGAGAAAATTAAAGGGTGACCGTTGGAGGCAGAGAAATACATTTTGGCCGTTCACCAGACTCTCAGTCCCTGCTGTGAGCAAGGCCACGGGTCCCCTGCCTCAGGCGGCTCATGACTTGGGGACCTCAGTCTCCTCTCTGTGGAGTGACGCCGTGGACACCTGTCAGCTCGGAGTGTCACCGCCCTGCAGGGAGGCTGTGGGGAGAAACGGGAGGGGACGTGGGGGCTTCAAAGAAGTGCAGAGAGACCCAAGTTTGGCGGGGCCGGGGTTCCCCCTGACATTTTGAAGCACGTTCTCATTGTGGAGGACAAAGGTAGACACACACACACACACACACACACACACATGCGCGGACACTGCCCTGGGCAAGCGGGCGCCTGGCGCACAGGGAGGCGTTTCGGGGTCAGGGCTGTGGGCCTCCTCCCAAGGCTCAAGTCCCTTAGGGAGGAGAGAAGTGAAAGAGGCAGCCCCTGTCCTTCCCCTCCCCTACTTTGTTCTGGGGTAAAATAGAGAAATTATTTTGGTTGCTTTTTTCTTGCTCTCGTGTGGTTTAAAGAAAGGAAGCCAACACTCAGAGCTCCCTGTGGCCCCGCCTGTCCCTCTATGGCAGTGACAGGAAAGGAAACGTGGTATTAACTTGTTGGGGTTGAAATCCCAAACCCTCAATTTCAGGAGCAGAAGGAAGGAGGCAGCTTCCTTGCAGCTGCAAGGGGAGCCCTGGGCCGCCCCTCCAGATGCCTGCACCCCCCAGTGGCCACTCAGCCTGCCGGGGGCTGGGGCCAGCACCAAGGCCGAGGCCCTGAGAGACAGTCCCACTGGGAAAAAGACTGAGTGTCGTGACATGACATGAATAATTCATTCTCTCACGAGACAGTTACCGCGTACGCACCTACTGCATACACACCTACCGCGTACAGGAAGCCTGTCCTTGCCCTCACTGAGGAGGATCTGAGTCGGCAGAGCAACAGGAATCGCAGGGGTTATCACCTAGATGGATACTGGGTGCAAATAGAAGTCCTCTGCGCAGGGGGCGGGGAGGGTGTCTGCAAGCTCAGTGGGTCAGGGACCTGCTACACACTGGGGATTGGAGCAGGTGGCCTGTCACCTAACACCCGAAGACTGAGTGAGTCCTGTGGGTGGCTCTTAACACCTGTGATCTCCAGTTTTTGGTTTTGTTTTTTGGGGGGGTTGTTGGGATGGACCCCAGGGCCTGGCCCAAGCTCAGCAAGTACCCCGCAGCAGCGCTCCGGCCCCGGCCTGTGGATGCAGCAGGCACTTTCCAGACAGAGGGGCCGGGTTTCCAGGGCCCGGCAGGGAAGGGGCTGCTGCCTTGGAGGCTCAGAGAAGGGCCCCTGGCTCTGCAGTGAGCAGAGAGATCGCTCAGGAGGAGGAGGCAGCCTCGGTGGCACTGGGCTGCCGTGGGGGGCGTGGTCAGGTTGGTGGGGCCCCGGTGGAAGCGAGGAAGCTGACTGCAGTAGGGGCTGGGGTGTAGACGATTTGTTCTCTGATGGGAGAAACTGTACAAGGAGATCTGGGAGGATTGCCACTTCAAGCCCAGTGGGGCGATGTAGGGGCTTAGCATAAAAAATTTAAAAAGGGCAGGAGATGTAGCTTGGTACAAAGATACTGCGTTAATTCCCAGTTCCATCCAAAAAACAAAACAGTCCTGGAATCCCGGCCTTGGGCTGTTTGAAGTGGCCAGGGTGACGTGATAGTCAGTGCTGTCACTTCCCACACAGGATGGCACAGATGAACGAGAAGCAAAAGGGACAGGACCGAGGGGGCCTGTGGCTCTGCCCTGCCCTGCACCCAGCCTGCCAGGCGCCGTGGGGCAGGCCCTGTTTAATGGAGGCTCACAGCCCTGAAAGGTGCCGGGTGCGGGCTGAGGGGGCCTGGATGGCCGCCCTGCAGGGAAGGGTTGGGGGTTATCGGCCGCTCCGACTCCCCGCACGTTTCTGCCCTGTGATGCGGCTCCGTGGCTCTCCCCAGACAGTGCTGCCCAGTGAGTGGAGATTCGGGCTTCGGGGCTGGGATCTAAGCACCACAGAATTATTCACTCTCAAGCGATTAGTTTTATGTGAATCGCACCTGAATTTACAAAAACAGGAGCAAAGACTCAAGACCACTAAACTATCCTGGGGGACATTCACTGTTACCTAGTTCCAGAACATTCCCATCACGCCCAAAAGAGATGCTGCCCCCCCATCCTCCTGCACCCCTGGGAACCATCCGCCTGCATCTTCTCGTGTTGGTGCCCCTGTTCTGGGCATTTGTGCCTTTTACATCTGGCCCTTTGCACTCCCCGTGATGTTTGCAGGGCTCTTACCAGCATCACCCCACCCCCCCACCGCACAGCAGAACGCATCCGTGCACCGTGCCTTGTTATGCTTAAAAAATGGAGACACTCTTAACCTCTCTGCCCCTCGCTTTTAGACTGCGTGAGCTTCAGATCCCTTGGGCTCTAAAATAAAACCAAGAATTTTAAAAAAAGACAAAACCCACCAGCACCGGAGGCCTGAATCTTTATTAAGCACTGCATTGGGATGTGTGGAAACTGTATTACAGTGTAATTTGCCATGTCATGAAACCACATCATCAGATGCTTTACTGAAATCATTAACTCCGGGTTACCGGGACCCAAAAGCTTCACAGTCCATTCTCGTGTAGGCCTCAGCTTGTTTAATTTCAGCCTGGATCTCCCAGTTCAACAGCAGATTCATTTCCAAAGGTCAAAATCCACTGACCTGGCCAGGCGTGGTGGCGCATGCCTCAAATCCCAGCACCCTGGGAGGCTGAGGTAGGAGGACCACAGATTCTAGTCTAGCCCAGGGAGCTCAGGGATTAAGCAAAACTCTTATCTCAAAAAAGAAAAGAAAAAAGTAGCTCAGTGTGAAGGCCCTGAGTTCAAGCCTGTCAACCCCTCCCCCAGTAGAAAGCCCACTGATCTGAGAGGCAAGGCCTGGGACTGAGCGATGCCTGGAACCTGGGGAAGAGAGGGCTCCTGCGTGGTCCTGTGGGGCTCCCCTCTCCCTCCACTGCCTGATGCTGTCACCTCCAACTCTGCCATCAGCCTTTACCAGTCACCCCATCTCCGTCTCCTGAACATCCCCGCTGCCACGGTGAGACCGCAGCTCATCCTCTCGTCCCCGCCTGCCCTCATCCGCCAGCCCGTGCCAAACCCCCGAGACTCTGCCCCTCTCAGTGCTTCCCAGGCCGCCGCCTTCCGTCGCCCAGGGAGCAGAGCGGGGGCAAGCCCTTCACGTTCAGGGTGGTGCTGCCTGCTGGGTGCAGTGACATTACTGTCACCCAGTCACCCGAAGAGCAGCTGGTCCCGGGAGGCCCCTGCCAGCACTCGGAGCCCCAGGGCAGGGATGTGTTGAGTGACTGACTGAACATCGGTTCTGTGTATGCCGAGGTTCCAGCAATCCCGAGAAGTAGAAGAACACAAACTTTCTTAACATTATCATTTATTCTTTCCACCTGGGAAGTGGCATTTGGTTTGAGACACTCTTTATAAGACACAGTGAATGAAGAAGGCAAAGACCAAGGGTAGCCAGGGGGCTGGAAAGGGGCCGTAGGCAGGCTCTGGGGGGACGGGCGGGTCCCGCCCTGAGATTTCCAGCCCCATGTGGGTCTCACGGTTTCCCGCTGCTCCCCGTGTCCGCAGGTCATCATCATCTGCCTGGTGGTTCTGGATGCCCTGCTGGTGCTGGCCGAGCTCATCCTGGACCTGAAGATCATCGAGCAGGACAAGAACAAGTACGCGGCCAAGGTAGTGTCACCGTCACTGCAGCTCCTCTGCACTTCAGGGCAGCGTGGAGCGGGGAGGGCGGGGTGTTTGGGGTCATTTGCTTCCTGTCTTCTGATGTCTGTGCGGTCCCTTCTCGGGAGCCATGGGTGGCACCACCGCATGAGTTACCGACCGTGCTGGGCTCCAGTGTCACCCAACGGGCATGGACACGGGACAGGCTGGACCTCAGAAGCGTCTTCCCGTGTGCTTTTGGGAAAAAAAGGAACTCTGTGCACGTGCCTGTTTTCAAGTGGTAAAAAGTGCAAAAGAAAACATCAAACCCCGACTCACCCGCCCAGGCAGCCCAAGTCAGGGGGACGGATGAGTAGCTCCCCTCTCTCCGTGTCCCTTAGTAGAATTTGTGATGCTGCCTTTTCTCCCCAAGTCCGTATCATGAAAGATGGCAAATACACCTTTCTCCGTATTAGCTTTGGTGCCGTACATCCCCACAGAGATCCAGGTGTCTGTCACCCGCATTGTGACTTCACCCCTAAACACGTCAGCACGTCTAAGAATAGGCCGCTCCCCAGAACCAGCCTGGCGCTGTGAGTCCTACATCAGCAACGGCACTGCCATCTCTCACACCACGTGGACCTGCAGTCCCTCACTCGCCCGGGAATCTTCTGAGATGCTCCTGTTTCTTTCTCTCCACCCTCTTTCCCCCTCACGACCTGACTTCGTAAACAGTCCCCCCAGCCACCCTGTAGGATGCCTTGCATTCTCCATTAGCCTGTGCCAGTCCGGACAAGGGGCCCTCTGGCTTGTTTTCTTCTCCCGGAAGTGAACACCGGAAGTGAGGTCAGAGGCTCCATCGGCAAGGCCTGTGCCTTGGGCTCTGTTCTTCAGATGCACCCGAGGGGGGACATCATGCCAGGGCCCCCCTTAGGGACAGTCAGGTCCGATGTAGGTGGCAAATGCTGGTGTGCTCCACTGTCCAGCGCACTTGTCCCTCCGTGGGTATACACAGTCTTCCCTGTGACACTTCATGCCATGCGGATTTCCTCCCAGTGGGCATCCAGGGCAGTCCCTGCCTGAGTCAGTGAATTCACTGGGGCTGTGGAGTGGTTTTCTGATTCTGTCTTTCCCTCCACCTTGAGTAGCTGCTCTTTCCCCGCTGCGTGCCCGCCTCGCTGTGGGCTTGTGGGGGTTTTGTTCATGGTGTGTAGGTCATTCTTTTTGATGTTCGAGTCGCGCACTCTGGGCCCTGAGCCTCTTCAGTCTTGTCCTTTTGGCCTGAGCTTTTAGGCACAAGCAGTCCTAGCTCACTACATACATTTCCTGCCTCACCTTGGAAACCGCTTCCTTAGTGAGGACCGAGGTTTACTCAGCAGGCCCTGGGGTCCTGCTCGCTTAGCGTCTACCCTGTTGGCCGTGCACAGCCCTTACTCAAGTAAGTGTGTGTATGCAGGCGCCATCGTTCACACGACAGACAGGCGCCTTCTCGTGGACAGGGACACTGTCCCACCGACGGTACAAAAAGGCCCTGGTTTGCGAACGGCGCTTATATAAGGCAGCTTGCCCGTTGCTGGGGTGAAACATCCTACATCCACAACTCAGAGGAGGACGCGTTGGTTTTGGCTCGTGGTGTTGGGAAGAGTCAGCCGTGGTTGATCGGCTCCAAAGCAGAGCCAGCGTGGTAGAAGGGCCGGGAGGAAAGGTGCTCATCCCGTCGGCAGCCAGGAAGCAGAGAGAGAAGAACCAGGGACAAGGGAGAGAAAGGGTGGGGACAAGGATGCACGCTTTAGGTCACAACCCCAGCGACCACCTCCAGCAGCACTCAGCTACTGAACTTCATGGAGTTCACGGATGAACGGGGCGCCCCATGATCCGATCACCATCCCCACACATTAGACTTTGGGGGGCCCGGTAGATCTAAACCCTAACGGTGCTGCATTAAGTATCCTACAACACAGCGGTGTGCGTTAGTTGCCCTTCAAGGGGCAGGGACCTGGCTTGTGGTGCTCGCAGCTGTGTTTCCGGCATGGAGAACAGGGTCCGGCTCTGGAGCTCGGCATCTGTCTCGCCGAGGAAGTTGCCGCTGGCACGCGGGGAGGGGAACGTGAGGCCAGGCTGTGCGGCCTAACCCCGGCCAGTGGCCAGAGGCGCCGTCCCCTGACTGGCTGCTTTCTCCTTCAGGTGTTCCACTGCATGAGCATCGCCATCCTGGCCTTCTTTATGGTGGAGATTTTCTTGAAGATATTTGTCTTCCGCCTGGAGTTCTTTCACCACAAGTTTGAAATCCTGGACACGGTGGTCGTGGTGGTCTCGTTCGTCCTCGACATTGTCCTCCTCTTCCAGGAGCACGAGTTTGAGGCTCTTGGCCTGTTGATCCTGCTCCGGCTATGGCGGGTGGCCCGGATCATCAATGGTACGTGAGTCTCTTGGGCTTCGGGTGGACCAGGCATGGTGCCAGGGCCAGACACCGGCATCCGGGTTCACACACATAGTCTCCACCATGGCCGCCACCACCACCTCCCAGGAGTCTAAAGAAAAGGGAGGTGGTGACGTTTGGTGACCAACTGCTGCCTCTGAGAACTACCGAACTTTCTCCTTCAGGCCTTATTTTTATGATTCTCAAAAGGTATTTCGAAAGGTTAGACTAATCCCCAAGGAGTCTCCTGAGGTTTTTTCTCAGAGCATCTTTTTTTCCCCCCTCGGTGTTAGAGGCTGAACCCAGGACCTTTGTGCTGAACTACACCCCCATTCTTTCATTTATACTGAGAGTCTCACTAAGTTGCCCAGGCTGGGCTCAAACTTCAATCCTCCTGCCTCAGCCTCTGAGAGCGCTTGAAAATCTGGCATGTGCCCCATGCTAAGTGATTATCTTTTTTTATTTGGTGTTTCCCAGAGGATTCCACTAAACCCAGGCCACCAGGGAAGGGATACCCACAGGAGGGACCCAGGAAGCTGGGCGACCGCACACCATACTCCCTCAGAGAACGTCATGGCACATGCTAGCATGAGGCAGCCACGGTTTTCTAAATTGATCATCCTCTTTCTTGGGTTTTTTTTTTGTCTTTTTGAGGCAGGGTCTTGCTATGCAGTTCAGGTTGGCCTTGAGCTCACTTTGTAGGTCAGGCTGGTCTCAAACTTGTGACGATCCTCCTGCCTCAGCCTCCCAAGTGCTGGGATTACAGGCATGCGTCACCACGCCCGGCTAAATTGACCATCTTGGTCCTTTTGGGGGTGAAATAATGCCTATAAACAGGCCCTAGTCTCTGGCTCTGTCAAAGGCGTGTGGAAAATGGTATTTCAGGGGAAACCCTTTCATCATACAGCGTGGGCCCAGGGCCTCCTGTTCAGTGGCCCTGCACTCCTGTAGATGTGACATGGCCATGGTGACGGCCAGATGTTCGTGTACACCATCTGCCTCAGAGCGACGGGCCTGGCAGTGTGACTGATCTCTGCAGCACCCCGCAGGCTCAGGGCTCCCCAGATGAGGGGTCCCCCAAGACAAGTGGCCTTGTGGGAGGGAGCTGCTGCCCTTGGGGGCCTAGTCCTGACCACGAAGGCTGTGAGGAGCCTTGCTTTGGGCTGTGCCAGGGAGAAGGGAGGTTTCGGTCCCTGCGGGGGAGGCTCGTGCCAAGCGGGAGACAGCCACCGGCCTGGTGCTCACATGGCATCTGTGCTCCGGCCCCTGCCCTGGCGGGCTGTGTGACAGAGCCTGACGGTCCTCGTGACCCTGTGAGGATTTCTCAGGCCGGGGGCCGAAGGCACCTGTTGGGTAGCTGGGGGCTGCGCAGAGCGGAGAGGAGACACCGGGCCCCCGGCCTCTGGCAGCACTTGGGGGCGACACGTCTGTCACGGCCCTTCCTAACGCTGTTTGTGATAAGAACACACTGTACATCTTCGTGCCCAAGTGGTTATGGTAGAAAGCAGTATCTCTGACGCCCTCGATGACCTTCCAGGGATAATTATTTCGGTGAAGACCCGTTCCGAACGGCAACTCTTGAGGCTGAAACAGATGAATATTCAGCTGGCTGCCAAGATCCAGCACCTCGAGTTCAGCTGCACTGAGAAGGTAGGACCCCGGCACATCGGGGCACCGGCACATGGGGTCGCAGGGCCCTGCAGCGCCTCGGCCCGGCGCCCCTTCCCTGGCCTGACGGGTCCTTGTCCTTTCACACATGCTTCACACCGCAGCCAGCCCACTTGCCAGAGCCGTGCCCGCTGCCCCAGCTAGGCCAGATGCGCCTCCCCTGGGCACCTCGTGTCCCCATCGGCACTGCGCTCAGGGGTCCCTGGCTGACAGCAGCAGTCTCCCCAGCGCCTGAGGTCTGCGGGACAGCGGCTCCCATCCGGGTGTCCCTGTGCCTGGCGCTCCCCGGTGACCGTCACCTCCCTGCTGAGGTTCAGGCCCATTCCCGTATTCGCTTTCCAACAGGAGCAAGAGATCGAAAGACTCAACAAGCTGCTGCGGCAGCACGGCCTCCTGGGCGAGGTGAACTAGCGTGGCAGCCCTGCGGGAGAAGAGCAGCGGCGGGCGCGGTGGGGGCCGGCCTCGCGGCGGCTGGGCCTTCCCCTGGCCCTGAGAATCGCAGCAGCTATTTTCCCGCCCGGGACACTTAGCCCTCGGTGAAAGCCAGCACACTTGGACAGTGGCCAGCTGTATATAAACTTTCATCGCCCCGCACGCAGTTCTCCAGCACACGTCCGCGGCGCCCGCACCCTCTCCTAGAGCACCGGGCAGGCGAGGCGAGCAGCCGGCCGCTCCACGCCGGCCC